AAATCCCTGGTTGGGATGATTTAGTTGGTGTTGGTCCTGCTAGTGAAGGCAGGGGGCTGGACTCGATGACCTTTCAGGGTCCCTTCGAGTTCTAGGAGATCGGATATCTCCATATATTATTATTATTTATTATATACCTCACTATCACTACTGATATGTTGTGTGGTTGGTGAAGAATTCTACACCAGAGAAGTGTAAAATTACTCCAAGTAAGGTCAAAGATTTGACAAGAACTCAGGTAGAAATTGCAGGTACTGGTGGTTGATTTTCATCCCAGAGATGGAAGCTATGGTGACCTGTGGCCCAGGTAAACTATTTTTATTACACTGCTCCCTAGTTTTGTGGCATTGATCACACTCCTAAAGGATGCCATGATTAAATTGGGAACAACTGTCTTTACCATTTGGATCCAAAATTTCATGAAGCACAGAGAGAATCATAGAAGATTAGGGTTGGAAGAAACCTCAGGAGGTCATCTAGTCCAACCCCCTGCTCAAAGCAGGACCAACACCAACTAAATCATCCCAACCAGGGCTTTGTCAAGCTGGGCCTTAAAAACCTCTGAGGATGGAGATTCCATCACCTTCCTAGGGAACCCATTCCAGTGCGTCACCACCCTCCTAGTGAAAAAGTTTTTCCCAATATCCAACCTAGACCTCCCCCCCTGCAACTTGAGACTATTGCCCATTGTTCTGTCATCTGCCACCACTGAGAACAGCTGAGCTCCAACCTCTCTGGAACCTCCCCCCCTTCAGGCAGTTGAGGGCTGCTATCAAATCCCCCCACACTCTTCTCTTCTGCAGACTGAACAAGCCCAGTTCCTTCAGCCTCTCCTCCTCAGACATGTGCCAGCCCCCTAATCATTTTTGTTGCCCTCCTTTCTCTAATGGGGGGGCCTAAAACTGGATGCAATACTCCAGATGTGGCTTCACTAGCGCCGAATAGAGGGGAATCATAATTTCCCTCGATCTGCTAGCAATGCTCCTACTAATGCAGCCCAATATGCTCTTAGCCTTCTTGGGAACAAGGGCACACTGCTGACTCATATCCAGCTTCTCATCCACTATAATCCCCAGGTCCTTTTCTGAAGAACTGCTGCTTAGCCAGTCGGTCCCCATCCTGTAGCAGTGCATGGGATTCTTCCGTCCTAAGTGCAGGACTCTGCACTTGTCCTTGTTGAACCTCGTCAGATTTCTTTTGGCCCAATCCACTAATGTGTCTAGGTCACTCTGGACCCTATGTCTCCCCTTCTGCATATCTGCCTCTCACCCCAGCTTAGTGTCATCTGTGAACTTGCTGAGGGTGCAATCTATCCCATCATCCAATTCATTAATAAATATGTTGAACAAAAGTGGCCCCAGGACTGACTCCTTGGGTACTCCGCTTAATACTGGTTGCCAACTAGACATTGAGCTGTTAATCGCTACATGTTAAGCCTGACAATCTAGCCAGCTTTCTATCCACCTTATAGTCCATTCATCCAATCTGTACTTTAACTTGCTGACAAGAATACTGTGGGAGACCATATCAGAAGCTTTGCTAAACTCAAGATATATCACATCCACTGCTTTCCCCATATCCCCAGAGCCAGTTATCTCATCATAGTAGGCAATGAGTGTTGGTCAGGCATGACTTGCCCTTGGTGAATCCATGTTGACTGTTCCTCATCACCTTCCTTTCCTTCAAGGGCTTCAAAATGGTTTCCTTGAGGACCTGCTCCATGATTTTTCCAGGGACTGAGGTGAGGCTGACCGGTCTGTAGTTTCCTGGGTTCTCCTTCCCTTTTTTAAAGATGGGCATTATATTTGCCTTTTTCCAGTCATCCTGCACCTCCTCTGATCACCATGAGTTTTCAAAGATAATGGCCAATGGCTCTTCAATCACATCAGCCAATTCCCTCAGCATCCTCAGGTGCATTAGATCTGGACCCATGGACTTATGCATGTCCAGTTTTTCTAAGTAGTCCTTAAACTGTTCTTTCACTGCTGAGGGCTGCTCACCTCCTCCCCATACTGTGTTGCCCAGGACAGCAGTGTGGGAGCTGACTTTGGCCTGGTCTACACTATGAGTTTAATTCAAATTTAGCACCGTTAAATGAATTAACCCTGCACCCATCCACACAACTAAGCCATTTTTTTAAAAAATAAAGGGCTCTTAAAATCGATTTCTGTACTCCTTCCCGACGAGCAGAGTAGTGCCGAAATCGATATTGCCATTTTGAATTAGGGTTAGTGTGGACGCAATTCGATGGTATTGACCTCCGGGAGCTATCCCACAGTGCACCATTGTGACCGCTCTGGACAGCAGTCTGAACTTGGATA